CCCCCGACCCACATGCCTCTGATCCCAAATCGCTGGACACAGTTTTTGCCTCATTTCATTTTTTCCCTCTTTTTTAAGGGGTGAATGCGATACCATTTGTGAGGCAGCGTGGTGGAATCAGGCTCTCGTCAATTTTTGGGCATGTAGAGTTACTGGTATCCTCTTAAAGCTTATACAGTTGTCTTTATTTAGATGAAAAAAAAAGATTCTTTTATCTTGAATACAAGTCGATACATTTGCAAAAGAAGGAGGTGGGGGTAACCTGTTTTCAGAGGTAAAATTTGTGAGAAAATGGCCGCCAAAGATTAGTTATTTCCTTAGCTTAAGAGTCCGTGGTAACTGAAAATTTACATTTTTTGGGGCCTTTAATGAACGTTTTTCAGAAAAATCCACACAGAAACGAGTTCTTTAATGGGCATGAAATGTGTTGAGCCAAAAAACAAAACAAAATTGGTAGAAATTCACAAACCTGCCGAAAAATGCAAGTTTCTTCACTTTGATCATTTTGACGAGAGCCTGATTCCACCACGCTGCCTCACATTTATTTCCCGCCTAAATAGGTCATTTGTGGGAACGAAGGACTTTGGCCCGTTTTTAGAATTATAGGAGGAGGATAAAGGAGGAGGAAGGATGAAGGAGAGAAGGGGGAAGAAGAATGAAGGAAGGAAAAATATGCTGGATGAAGGAATGAAAGAACAAGAATGGGGAAGGAAGAGAGAAGGATGGAGGAAAGAAGGAAGAAAAAGGATGAAGGAAGGAAAGAAAAAGAAGGATGAAAGAAGGAAAGAAGGGAGAAACAGTTTCGCGAAATGTGTTTCTTTCACTTATCTGTTGTGTATGCTTTTAGAGAACAGCTTTGTGGGTGTGTGATGTTTAATGGATTGTCGAATACGTACCGAAATTTTTTTGTAAAGAAAAAAGAAAATTGAGCTTAAGATTTTTTTTTAAAACAGAAAAACCCCTCACACATATATATGTCCGAGCATCCGGGTCAGTTTGTGGGATCAGTCACGAGAGAGCGTGCGTAGTTTCTGACGTTGTGTAGCTTATCTGTTTTTA